ATTCATCTTCGGCTTTCAGGCGTGCCTGTTCGAATCGGTCGCGATCGAATTGTGTGGGGAGTGTTCTGGATGTATCTTGTTCGATTTCCGACAGAATGCCTCCGTATGGCTTTGATTTGGCGTCGTCAGTCTCACGGTCGAACAAAGTCATGGAGTTGTAGGATATGGGGGGGAGAGGAACGAAGTGGGCCTGGGGTTCTGGGGCCACAGGTGGCGGCTTTGGTGCTTTCTTCTTCTTGCGTTGCGGTCGGATTTGAGAGCCTGTTATTTTAGACATTTTTGCCTCTTCCAGCCGGAACCCGATAATCAATTTTCCAAACTGCCGGGTAACCACGCGGCAGTGCTCTCGGTCCACTGCGCGAGTGCGTCGCACGCGAACAGAGCGTGTCCGAGCAGGAGAGTGGACATCACCATCAACAATGCCATCCCCACCCTCCAAGGCCGCATCATTCAAACTTAGGTGATCGGAGCGGAAAGATGTTTGCCGGAGTCTTTTGCGAAGCACAGGTGTATGTTCTTCGGCCTCAATTGACGAAGCCTTTCGCTTGCGCAGCGATCGCGAGCTGTTGAGCATCTCGTCGTTGACGCCTGTGTTAAAGATAGAGTGGAATCCCTCGTCGTGTGTGCCAGCGTGCGCAGGTAGAAGCTCTTTGGGTAGGGCTGATGCTCCGAGTCCTGTTTGTGTCGCTAAATCTGTTACCGGGTCGGGCTGTAGATTGTTATGAACACAGCCGGGGCACCTCCATGGGTCTGGGGGTTGCAATGTTAGAGGATGCGATACATCAAGAGGTGATAAGGCACAAATCAATGACCGCGGGGTTGCGTACCTTCCGTTTCATCATATGCTCCTTGTTCGCGAGCGCATTGGCAATGGGCTGTTAGGATGTCAAGTCAGCGATTGTCTCGCGGTAAAGGTAAAGGGTTAAGCTCTGTTCTGCTCGGCACCTGCCAAACGGAGCGAAACGTACAGTGATCACCACAAACAATACAAGTAAGCCATTCCTCAAAATCTTCACTTGGGTCGTGTTCCTCATCTTGACCGCAAAACCTATTGGTCCGTTGTTAGTACTTGGACCCTAATTTTGTGCCCAGTGCTCCATCGAGCCCTTTTACTTACACGCAGTTTGAGCCACTACGGATATCAGTTTCGATATCCTCGCGGCTATTGCTCTCAGCTTCCCAGTCTTCAGCTTCTGACTCGTGGTCACTTGATTCGGGTTCTGAGGCGTCACGGTCATTTGCCTCAAACCCGGGATCTGCATCCACGTCGGCTGTCTCAGACTCCGCATAGTCTTCTTCGGAGCCCGCATCATCGTCGGGTAGCTTGACAGCTCCGACAGGCTCGGCCTCGTCATTGTCGTCATCGTCTTCTCCGTTCAACCCATTGATGCTTGAGTTGTTTCCATCTGCAGCTTCCTCCGGGCCATCCTCATCCTCTCCAGTGTATGCTCTGTGGACGGCATCCTGGAGCCGTTGATCCATTTCATACAAGTCGGTTTCTTCTTCGCCCTCCGCATCTAGGTCGCTGTCGGCCAGGTCCACAGTCGGGTCGAGTTTGCCCGGTTCATCGTTTGCTGGCGGCACCGTCGCCGCCATAGTGAAAGTTACCGCCACCGCCAGGTTGAGCACAGCAGTGCTTCGTGTATGCGCTCAGGCAGACTAAGGTATCTTTTTTCGTGAAAGAAGCTTAAACCGATCCGGTTACAGAAGCACCCCGCTGACGTCGGCGCTGATCCGGGGGTGCATCTGGATCAAAAGCGGGTTCGAGGCTGGTTGAAGTGATACCGAAGATTTTTGCGAACAGAAGTACCGTTCGACACTCAAAGTTTCCAGGCGCAAAGTGGAAGCTAAACAAACAGTAGGTGTCAGTCCGCCGCTGGAGTGGCTAGGCATCGCAAGCGCGTCGCAAAACAGAGGAAACTCACCCCAAGAAAAACCGGTGCAATCTTTGATTCAAAAGTGTACCAGACGCGTCGACTGACAGTCCATACACCGGGGCCTGTCTCTTTTACAATCGAATGCGATCCGCAACGGCCTTCACGCCCCTTGTCCTGTGAGTGTCGTTGCAGCGCGCTGAGTCAGCGCGGGCTAAACCACTTTAGGTGGAGGAGACCTCAAGCCCGTCGCTGTAGGAAGAGACACTCCCCTCCATACTCTCCGCGATCTATCCACTCTCCTCAGTCCGTGAGAGGCTTTACGGCTCTTGACTCTACTTTGACACCTCTTTCCGACAATCTACATACCCATACAACCGCACGCCATGGGTGTTCCCTTTGAGGCCCTGCTTCCCTATGGGATTATCATGGGCGTACGTACCATTGGTCAATGCCTTCCGGGACTATAGCTCACCAATTGCTACAGATGTTCGGTGTGACTGGCTACGGTCTTCACTATGTCAAGCGCTTTGCCAACGACGGCAAGAAGGCGCGCTGGAACCGTGATCTGTGGGATAGAGTAAGTTGGTTCCATCCTTGTCGGCTGCGGTCGGAACTTGCATATAGCACATTGGCTAACAATTTCACAGCAAAGTGAGTGACTACCAGCTTATCGGCCGACTCAAAGCGCCTGGGAAGAATTATATGAGACTAACCGCAACCAACAATAGTGATGGAGAGAGATCAGCGCATCACAGGCTCATTCCGCGGGCAGTCCAGCAACCACCAAGCGCCCACCGGATTCGAAGTCAGCAACCCATGGAAGGTACGAATGATATATTATGTGTCTCTTGGATTCCAGTCTCTATGCAGAAACGCTGACCTGAGATATAGATCGAGAATCGGATCTACTAGTTTCAAAAATTGCAGCCTCTTTTCTTTTACGTTCAATGTCTGCGCCTTCCTTACACCGTGATCATACATATCCACTGCAATTTCTCTAGAAACATTCAATGCTGTACCATATCCTATATTCTCTCGGGTTTTCTTAGTAGTCCGCTCCGCCATGTCTACTTGAGCTCCGAGGTCATTCCCCGAATCCCTTGGATCTCATCCTCTCGAAGGTGCATATTGAAATACTTGGCCAAGGCCTTGACTCGGTCCTCTTCAGTCTCCAGCACCTGCAAGATCTCCGTTTTTCCACCCAATCTCTCCTTGACTTCTTTGCCCGACATGACGCACTGGCCAATGATTTCTGTGCCACTTGGGTCCAAAATCATTCGCATGCAGACAAAGACCTGAGTGAACCAGCTAGTTCGGCTCTGGCTGACGGAGAAGTTCATGACCCCAAAATCCTGCGGGAGGAACTCGACGTCGGAAAAGCAGATCATTGGCAACCAGTCGCTCTCGGGGTTGTATCTCGTTTGGTAGATCCAGATCTTTTGGCTTTGGTCTGTGAACTCGGCAATGCTTTCTCTGACAATACGCATCTCAGATGGCGCGATAGCCGTAGCAGTAGCACCTTCTTGAAGTAATAGCGGGGCAGTGGCACAATTGTTTCCAAAGCCGACATCGATCTGTGCATATCCGTTAGTATGGTTCATGCGGTAGAGTATATCTTCATGCCGTACCATGTACTTCTCCCCTCTAATAATCACAATCAAAATCATATGTCCACTTCATCGCGTCAGTGGTGTCAGCTCAGCTCTTCTCAGAATGCTCAGAATACTAAACTGTCGGGAAACCTACAATGGCAAATATAGTCCATTGTTCACTCCCTTCGCTGCTGCATGACTGACTCTACCTCCCGTGGCATAAACAAGATACCCCAGGGACCGCAAAACAATAAAGAAGATTCCCGTATTCTCCATGCAGTACCCATCTAGCCGCCGCTCCACCATCTTCTCAAAGAGACTCTGTGGGTTCAGAGAGATAGTATGATGTTGCGAGTAATGCAGCCCTGAGTTACCCCATGGAATGGCAGTGAGATGCCGCCTTTGCAGATCGCACAGCGCAGAAAGTGCATCATTCTCGATCTCCTGACGGAGATGCTGAAGAAGATTGCCCTCGGATTGAGCAGAGTGGGAGTACCCGATGCGATTCAAGTATAACTCCAGTTGCTGATCGGTATATGTGGGTTTTGGTGCCATTGCTGTTAGGGTTCCTTACCATTTGGTGTTCGAGTGATATATGATTGTCTATATCCACGGCTAACAACGTTGAGGATCGGAATTATTCCAGTTATCGTCATTTTGATGACCAATTTACCTTGGGTCCCCACACATTCCCCCACAAGGTTGCCTTCGCGACGCCGGCAGTTTATACGGCTATATTAGGGAGTACCTCGTGCACGATTCATCTGCAAACAGCCTGCTCAGACACTTGGAGCGTTGAAGTATAAAACGAAGAATGAAGAAAACATGTGTAAAAAGACTACCGAAAAGACCCCAAAAGGCATGACAAGACCGCACAAATGGCTTAATTCCTGTTGCATATCCAGATATTCCTACTTTATAGTTATTCTAGGTCGCGTATAATGCGCCCATCCTTTGCTAACATTATTCGAGTTACTTACGATACTACTAGTAGGCTCAAAAGGCTGATTCGAAATTATAGAAACAATGTTACATCGTAAATTCCCCCGCCTTAAACCGGGGTAAATAATTCCAGTCGAAAATCGGCAATGAAAGACATGAATCCCGGTACTTGTCGCACTATATACTAATAAACAGTATAAGGTATATCCGAGAGTCACTTACCCCACGTTTCCTGCAGCATGCGGAAGATAGATCACCTCGGCTATGACGCTTTATGGGAAACAGGATTATCCAGGCATGATTATTAATTTTATACATAAGTTATAAATTTTTATTATACTCTTCAGTGTCTCAATATCTCGAAATTAAGCAATAAACTTGTAAAATGTGCCTTTAAACCCTCCGAGTTATAGATCTCCGATGATGTAGTATTCATCCGATATCCGGACCTACGGACATGTGCTTCGACTGATCAGCCAATGTACCTTTGCTCCTCATATTCCTTTATTACTTCTTGTCTAAACTCTACTTTGTACAGTACAAATATCACATTGCCCTTCCCACCGTGAACCCCCCGCATCTAAGCACAATGGCTACGCTAAACGAGCAACTCGCGACATTGATCGAGAACTATTCGCCCTGCGATGTATGCAAGAGTTGATTTTCCTTACCAAGTCATCGAGCAACTGCATCTAACATTCTGGTCCTTTAGGTATCAGACGCCCTCATCAAGCTGCAAAAGACTACCGAGGGCAGCACGGCAAGAGCAGGCTACCTTGCAGATCTAGGTACGCCATCAATACAAAGCCCAGCAAAGCATCCTTTCATAGCTCCAACAATCCCACTCACATATACCCACCAGTGCCATTCTCTCCCACGATAGGGCGGAATGAAACAATGCCCAAGATTGCAGCACCGGCCACAACATTCAAATTTCTGGCCAAAGATGCCAGCCCACCATCAATCGCGACAGAAAATACCCAGAAGCACGGTTTTTCGCCGGGTAGGCACTGGGTAGACCACGTCGGCGAATTCCAATCGTCAGATCCTTCTGGCGCTGGATCCATCGTCGTTATTGAGCAGCCTGGGGACCAGTACTGCGCTGTGACGGGTGGGATCATGGCGACCCGTATGAAAGCCTTCGGTATCAAAGCCACGGTTGTGGGTGGCCGTGTCAGGGATTTAAGGGAGTTGCAGGCTACTGGGCTTCCGGTTTGTGGTGATCTTTCCCGGTTTGGTCGTTAGCGTTACTGACTAGTTCTGATGGTAGATCTGGGCTCGTGCTACTTCTACGGTTGGCACCAGTGCAGAGGCCAAGGCTGGTGCTCGTGATGTGCCAATCTCGATTGGGGGTGTTACTGTTTCTCCTGTGAGTTCTGGCTCCTGTGCTCGCTGGTTGCTTCATGGTAAAGCCCATGGTCTAATCATTACAATGCATCATAGGGAGACATCATCTTCTGTGATCCCTTGGAAGGAGTAGTGGCTATTCCTCGCGAGCTGCTCGGCCAGGTACTTGAGCTCATGCCTAAACTAACTACAATGGATAGCAACGCCAAGGATGCCGTTGCGCAGGGAATGAGCGTCACTGATGCTTTCAAGAAATTCCGCTGATAGCCTACTTTCAGCCGAATGTATATAATGCGTGCGACTAGATGATATATTAGATGACGAACTGGAGAGACCCAGATCAAGTACGTATTTCACAGAAGCACGTGTTGGAAATCTACAGCAACTATTGGTATCAAATGTAGAGCATATATATGTAGCTCCAATATTTTGGTATTCGAAGTATTCAATACATAACGAGAAATCTGTGTATCCGAAATAGAAAAAAAAAGGGGCTAAAAAGCCAAATCGCTGTGCAAATGTACAATCGAAACATAAGTTTCGTTTACTCGGCCACCCAGACAGCGGCCATACCCATACCGGTACCGATGCACATGCTGGTGACACCGATCTTCTTGTCTGTGCGCTTGAGCTCAGTGAACAGTGTGCTGACCTGGCGAGCACCAGTGCAGCCAAGAGGGTGACCGAAAGCAATAGCACCACCCTTGGGGTTGATCTTCTCGGCAGGAATGCCGAGCTCGTTAACACACCAGACACACTGAGAAGCGAAGGCCTCGTTGATCTCGTAGATGTCGACATCATCCTTGGTGATGCCGGCCTTCTCCAGTGCAACGGGAATAGCCTTCCAGGGGCCAACACCCATGAGCAAGGGCTTGACGCCGACGACGCTGGCAGCGACGTACTTGCCGATGATCTTCTGGCCCAGGCGCTCGGCGGTAGACCGCTTCATGAGAAGGACGGCGGCGGCACCATCGGAGATCTGAGAGGCGTTACCGGCGTGGATGGAGCCGTCCTTGGAAAAAGCGGGCTTGATCTTGCCGAGCGACTCGGCGGTGATACCGGGGCGGATACCGTCATCGGCCTTCACGGTGATGGTCTTCTCCTCGCCAGTCTTGGGGTCAGTCCACTTCACGTCCAAGGGGGCGATCTCCTCGTTGAAGAGACCAGCCTTCTGGGCGGCAAGAGCCTTTTGGTATGACTGGGCGGCGAACGCGTCTTGGGAAGTGCGGGTCACGCCACGGTCCTTGGCCATGTTCTCGGACAGGACACCCATGGGGACCTTGCAGTTTGCGGACTCAGGGTGGCTCTCGAGGAGGTCAGAGAACTCGGTCACGGCACCAGGTCTGTTGCCAACTTGTTAGCCATTTTATAACAAGGGAATTCCGAGGCTTCAAACATACCCGTACTGAGAGGACATGCTCTCAACACCGGCGCCGATGCCGACGTCGATCATGCCAGACCGAATGGCGTTGGCAACATCGGCGATAGCCTGGAGACCGCTAGAGCACTGGCGGTTCGTGCTCCGCACAGCGGTGCTCTCTGGGAAGCCAGCCACAAGAGCGGCGGCACGGAACTCAGTGGCACCACCACCGGGTGCAAGGACATTGCCGACGGTAATATCCTGGACGGCGCTGGGGTCAACACCGCTCTTGTTCAGAACAGCCTTGAAGACACCGGCAAGGAGGTCAGCGCCAGCGGTATCCTTGAAGCCACCCTTACCACCCTTTGTGAGGGCGGTGCGCAGGGCACATGTCACGACAATGTCATCGGCGTGCTTCTCGAGGAGGGCGGCGGCTCCCTTCTTGCCGCCAGGGCCGAAGTGGGAGGAAACCTGGCTGAGACGTTGCTGAGCTATAGGTATAGATTAGTTTTCTGGTTCTGTTTCGATTATAATTTGCAACAAGCCACTGGAAACCAAGTATTCTGTTGAATACATGGCCATGGGCTGTCACATGCACATCACTCACCGTTAGACATGACGTCAATGTGTGATGGAGATATGGGTGAAGTATGAGGATGAGGAGTAGAGCAAAAGTGAAGATAAGAAAATGGCCCAGATATCCGGGGATCGGTTGGTTTATAAATCAGAGCCGTGGAGTCGGTGATATTTCCCCTTTGGATGCCCGTTGCTGGCCGCTGTCGCATTCTAAGCAAGTACCGAGGTCCATTTAGTCGCACCATCGTTGTTCCGGACCAGTCACGGGATCTCCGACTGGTAGATCAGGGGGGCATGTGAAATCGAGGGATTGCATACATCACATGCGTGTGTTGGTCGGACTCACGTTTTGAGACGTCATGTAAGTAGATCAGCTCGGCATTATGTCCATGTTTTCATGCCTTCGAGTGTTATCTACATAAAAATTTTATTCTGGAGCCTATCTCAATATAATATCGACAAGTCTCCACGACGAAGGAACAGGAACCGGCTGTTGCTTTTATCAAATCTGCGTGCTCACAGATGAAGGATGGACGACTAATTCCAATCAACTCCCCTGATAGCTCAGCTGGAAGAGCGCAAGACTGTAATTGTCCTGTTCTTTCGAGAACCTGTCATCTTGAGGTCCCTGGTTCGATCCCGGGTCAGGGGATTATTTTTTGTTTTTTTTTTCACATATACATATTTTGTGGCACAACATAGGCTTCCAAGGTTACCAGTAATCGTCCCCAAATCACGAACGAATTTGATCCAACACAATGGCCGCAAATTCCAATCTGGTTGAGGATATCAACCTCTTATCTGGATTCCTCAGCGACGATCAACTACAAGATCTCTCCACCGCATCCCCGGTCGACTGCATTGTCATATGCGCCTCAGCCGTTCTCCACGGTGCCGAGGCCCTCTTCAATACTCTTCAGCAAAGACCATCTCTTACCAGGGCTCTCGTACTGTGCGGAGGTATCGGGCACTCGACCGAGCTCCTTTATGATGCGGTGAAATCGCATCCAGGCTTTTCACGGATTGCCGATGAGATCCAAGGTCTCCCTGAAGCCAAAGTTCTCGAACGAATTCTAGATGAGTTCTTCGATCGATCTCTCATTACAAAGGAAGGATGTCAAATTCTGCTTGAACCCCGATCTACAAATTGCGGACAGAATGCTTCATTCTCTCGCAAAGTCCTCGATGAAGCGGGCTTTCAGGCACCAGCCACTTGCATTATCATTCAGGACCCCACGATGATGCTCAGGACCAGAGCGTCGTTCGAGAAGGCCTACGAGGGTATTCAAACCCCGGTCTCGGTTATTAGTTGTCCGGTATTTGTGCCGCAGGTGCAATTGTCCCGTAACGGAGTACTTGAGTATTCAGGCATATCCCCCTCGTCAGAGTTGTGGTCACAAAGTCGGTTTCTAGAGCTGATCATGGGCGAGATACCGAGGTTGAGGGATGATAAAGATGGTTACGGTCCTCGAGGGCGTGGTTTCATTGCTCATGTGGATGTTCCGAGCCATATTGAGGCAGCTTGGTCTCGACTACAAGTGGTGGCTAAGAGCTCTAGATAGGGATATGGATCCTGAGTTCAAACAGATGAAAATGAAATAAATCTGAAACCATTAGGCATGCACAACTATACAGCATGTTCATTGGCTGGGGTGTGTATATTGTACGTATGTATGTAGTATGTATGTATGATGCATTCATTGTACGTTGACTGCGACAATGGGGGAACCGAGGCATCGATCTCGTGCATGCGCCTACAATGCAAGGAGGGCATACATACCCGTGGACAGCCTCACTACAATATATGTATGTCCTCTAATAAGACTCTCTAATAAATTTATTAAATTTTTTTCATGTAAAAAAAAAATACAGAAATCCTGAAAATAAATAAAAAGATAATCCCCTGACCCGGGATCGAACCAGGGACCTCAAGATGACAGGTTCTCGAAAGAACAGGACAATTACAGTCTTGCGCTCTTCCAGCTGAGCTATCAGGGGATTTGATTGGTTGATCAACATATTTGTGTAGTATGAGCCCATAACAACCCGCCCATTCCATTTCAACCGAATGCATACAACCTTGGAATACATTTGTCAAAGACAACAGTATATACTCATTAATTGGTTGTCATGTAAGATAAGCTGAGAGCATAACACTCCCCAACACAACTTTGATCTTCAGCGCCAACGTGCGCCAGTGCCACCGATGTTGCTGTGTATAACCGGGCATCATGCAAAAGTTATCAAGATGTGACTGCTTCTTCCACAAGCCATGGATCGCCAGGACAAACCCCACATGAGGCATTAATACGAGATAAAATCCCATGAGGATCAAACTTCTGCTTTAACATTGGCCTTAACAAGGGTCCAAATGTCCCCTGACTTGGCATTGCGTTCAGCCGTAAAGCTCTCAATCCCCAAGGCTTCAAGGCATTTGGCAAAGGTTATAGCTCTTTTGCTATTAATTAGCAGGTTTTCATGGATGGTTTGGAGGCTTTTTCATCTTCTCGCGAATTCCCGCCTCCAATTATGAAGGCATCAGTCTCAAGGCTCTAAATACCATGGGGCTGTCTTCCAGAAGAATGAAGCAAGGCCTCATTCTCTTTCTTCTCTTTTTGCGGGTCTATAATATTGAGAATAGTGCTCGGAGCCCATATCTTCCACTCGATTGTCTGGTTGGCGCTTTTGACTGGCAGGTGTACCACCTTTCTGTTACAAGTTGTGGCTGGCGGGCTGGTTTTGAAAGAAACTCCACAGCCAATGGAGTAGGCCTTCACCGAGGTCTATTTCCACGGACCCATGTCATTTACTCACACGAACTTGGCGTCTCTGAGAGAGATATAGCCCCACCATCAACCGTTATATCTTCCTTGATGGCCCTCGGCTTGTCGGTCTCCAATAGACTGGCAGCAATGATGCCTGGTGTTCTGAATGTCCGTACGTGGTACTTCAGTGCTAGCTGGTCCTTCCAGTGTGCCTGGTTCTTCTAGAAGCAGTCTTCTGGCACCGCCGTGTCATTTCTGGTTAGCGCAGCCTTCGGATTGTTACAACTTGGGCTTGTTGGTTAGCTTATCGCCTACCATCGAAGCCAGATCTATCGCTCTAGTGAAGCGGGTTTTGAGCTAGAAGATTGAGAAGGTTGAATATTAATTTCTAGCTTGTAGGACTTCTAATCACATAACACTTACATAGCTGGCTTCCATTTGTTTGTAGTACCTTCGACTCCCTAGTGTGTCGATACCCACGCCTGTCCCGCTAGGGTTTTGAACGGGATAATATGCACTAAATCATGTAGATATTATCTCCGACATGCAACCTTATCCAATATTTTCAGGATCCCGGAAGTAAATGAAGATAAGCAAACGGCCTTTGGGCAATGCCCTGGGGTGTGTCCGTCCATTTACCTGCCAGCCGAAGCGTATATATTGACAGGCGTTTCACGGGGTTTTCGATGTCCTTTGGGGTGTTCTGTTCTTTAGTTTAGTATTCTGCTCAACTTTTTGTTTTTGGGATTCTGTCATTCAAATGTCTGGGTTGTATATATATCTTGCACGGGATGTGGATCCGCCACAACCTAAAGCTGGACTTTGTACATGAAGTCCCTTAGGGTATTCATTATACCTGGGAGAAATTGGTTTCCGGGTTGCCTGTCCGGGCCCCTTCTAAGGTTCTCGATGTCGTCACTTCTACCGCCTTCCACCCCAGGACACATCCATGAAGCACTCGTCTCCGTCTTGTTCGGGTCTTCTCTCCCCCCTTCTCGTAACCGCCATTACAGCCCTTCGTCAGATCTCCGCAATCGGTGACGGCGTTTCACGCCTAGCGTTGAAATTTAACAATCGATCTATCCCATCATCCGATACTTCCTACCTCGACATACTGGAACCCAGCTCTTCAATTCGCATATACTCTCCCATTAGAGTTCCAGGATAACTCACTTTGAAGAATTCTCGCAACGCCTGGTAGAGAAGTCCCCCTCCGAACGTAAGGTGTTGGACAAGCTAGACGTCTGGATGCAAGTGTGCCAGCAAGGCCAATGGAGTAGGTCGTTTGAGGGCTACTCCAACACCGCCCGTGCCCTGAGTGCTCAGATGGGAGAGAATAACCAAGCGGAAGTTGCACAGGCCTGGATATATGGGCTAGATGACCAATCTGTCATTCCGGCTATCAGAGTGATGATGGCCACGTGGAAAGAGGTCACTGTGCCCGAAACCATTACACTGATTTGTCAGACATTGGGCAACGTCGTCGAATCCCCAACGATATATAAGACCCTGGAATGTTGGGATATGAGTCTCAGTATGTCCAATTCTTGGAGGCTACGCGGAATGCTTCCTATAATGCAGCCAGTTGATGTGGACCACTTGGCCTCATAGGTGGGTGGCGACTGTTGTGTACAGTTGGTATACGTTCAACGGGTATATATATATACCCAGGGACTTAAGTCCCAACCTAACGGAAACCAGACATGAAAACAAAAGAAAACAAAGCCCGAGACTAGAACAAAGCTCCAAAAGCGGGGGCGGCAGCTCCGAAGGGCGCAGTGGTGATCAAAGGCTTTACACCAGCCGTGGCAACACCAGTAGATAAAATCCCCACCGCCGTAGCCGAAGCCGCCGCATCGGCCGTCAAAGAGTAAATACCATGGGTAACCTGCATGGCTTATAGCCCATATACTCGAGGGCGATGGGGCCTGTGCCACTGAAAGGTCGGCCACGAGTGAACCCACCTCCAACGCTGGCAATTTGGTAACTCGACGAGCAGACAGCAGATTCAGAGGAACGGGTGAAAGTGCATGCCCGAATTGCAGTTGTATGGCCCGTAGCACTGCCGTTGACCGTGGTAGCATGGAACTAGACGCTGTAGGTAGGTAGCCTCGCCCTGGATTATAGTTGCAGGAGTGTGTAATGGGCATTCGGTTCCGCTTCTCATACAGGCGACCTGGTATGTGGTTGGCGTACCCGTCGATGCCAATGACTCGGCATGCGAGACTGGTGAAACCATCAATGTCGGCGTCGGTGTGATTTCTATAGGCAAAATAGCTAATGGTCGTTATACTGGGTTCGGCGTTTGCGACCTGGGCCGATATGGTAGAGACGAAGAACCGGATCACGCGCACTTTAAATGATGATGAATATATCCAGGGCTACGTAGAACAGCTATAGTGGTCGGGAAAATAAACCAAAAAGCAAAGCACGGAGGAACTACCCCATCCCACGTGGCACTCCATGACGGCTCATTTGGGCGCTGGGCACCACCGGAAGCCAAACACCCTTCTTATACTAGCGAATTGCTGTGCTGAACCTCGACCTTGGCGATTGCTAGCTACAGTGGTACCAGTGCGAGGTTAGGAAGTAACAAAGATAAAGACATGTCCTTAATTGCGTATATGCAGATGGTCTATCTACAATGGAAAGACAGCCATTTACAATCCGGTTCTCCTCCTATGAGATATTGTAGGCAAATCAAGATGCCTGCCAATTTTTAGACAAACGGAAATCTACCCCCACAAAAATGATATAGGGCTTATGATAGATAGACTCCATCCACACTCACTCTATACAAAAAAAAAATAGCTGTGGGGAAAAAATAAAAAATAATCCCCTGACCCGGGATCGAACCAGGGACCTCAAGATGACAAGTTCTCGAAAGAACAGGACAATTACAGTCTTGCGCTCTTCCAGCTGAGCTATCAGGGGAGGATATGTTAAAGTCCTCGGAATTAGACACTATGAGCTAAGAGATAACCCCAGAAGGCAAAAAGACCCGGCTCACTATTCATATTCCCAAGAACCACTAGCCAACATATATACCTACTCCAACCGAGCTGGACGACTGAACCCAGCAGATACACACCCATGTTCCGACACGCCTTAACCTCCGCCTCATCAGCGCGCGCACCCTCAAACACAGTGGCAAGCGCCTCCAGCAAGCTACTCACCCGCCCATCATGGCACCATGTACGCGCACCTCGCAAGCAGCCTAAACCGCTCCTCAATCGCATCTGCAACCCAAAAAAGCAAAGCAAAACTAACAACAAAACCGCACCAACAGAGTCCCAGCACCGCCCGCCTCTTCACCACCACCCAGTTCACAGCCTTCACAGCATCACCACCAACCAAAGACCCCTCACCATTCCGTCTCTCCGCAAACAAAACAGCCTCCTCTCCACCGCCCTCCTTCGAAGATGTATACTACAGCCCTTACCAGCCAAAGCGCCAATGGCCACCGGATATGTCGAAGCTGTCCCCGAAACACCAGTTCCGGCTTGAGCGCAAGTACCGTCGTCGCGCGGCGCTGAAATATGCCCGGCCGACATTTATGAAAGCTACTCTGATTGCACAGTGGGTTGTTATTGGATGTGAGTTTTTGTTGAGATCGGGGTTCGGGTTAGAGTTTGGGAATCGCGAATTGCATATAAACTCGCAGTGGATAATGTGGAGGGATTTCGAGGAAGGATGCTGACTTTTTTTTTTGCTACGCAGTTGTCATTATCTATTCCGTGCTATTCATGGAGTGGGAGGCGGACAATACTCTGTTCCACGGGGTAAGTGTTCTCTCTGCCTTGGTCATGCTGATTCGCATTTTGACTAACCTGATTTCTTTCGTCTTATAGATTCGGGATAGCTTCTTTGCTGGTCTCCGGTCTATTTTCTCCAGCGCACCGCCTCCTGGCCAAAGAAGGGATCAGAATGATAATGCAGTGTCCGAGAAGAGCTCGTAGTCGAGTCATATCGATGTGCGTCTGACATCAATATTTTGTACAATATTCAACTAGATTCCCTACTTGTATCTACAGCTCGCCATCCGGAGTAATCTCAAAATTCAATAAGAAAGCTAGTGACGATTCATTCAATTCTCATATCTGTTCATAGGTCATTTGTCATGAAGAAATCCCGTCGGAAGAACAGGCGTCGCTGTACCATGGAGAGAAGGAGAAAGAGACAGGAAAAATCAACAGTCTCTTTTTCGCTTTCTTCTCCGTCGCCTGTGCCAATATGTGGCTTCGTTACATCATGTCCGCAGGACTTCTCTGGACAAGGAAATGCAGCCAACATGCCAATAACACCAAGAATGCCAACGCCTGTCAGGAATAACAGACCATCAATAAACTCCAAAGGTCAAGTAAACAAAAAATACCAACAAGATAAGTTGGGTGGGGCTGCTTGAGGACCAGCCCTAACGCCGAGTCATGATAATGTGTAAGACAAAACGAAAGATAGGAAATAAAGACAAGAGAGGAATGGGAAATTCGTTAAATCGAACCGGGGTGGGGGGGTTTGGCGCACCCGGTTCTTAGAGCCAGCTGCGCATGTCGCTTGATGGGGTAGTTGGACCGGCAGCTGAACGGTTGTCCGAGAAGTCTAGAGCAAGTTCCAGCCGGGGAGGGCGTTCATCGACCAGGCCTTTTCTAGGACTACCGGGTGCGGACTTCTTGGGGGATTTGGTGGGCGAGCCAGGTTCGCCCGCTCGGGGTGGGCCTTCGCGTACAAAGGTATAAGGCCAGCCATCATCGACTGCTGCTGCGACCCATGTTCGCAGGCAATCATGCACCGAAGAATAGAACTTCTCCTTGCAAGTACGCAGACTTCCACCCATGACTTTCTCAAAACCAGAGGCACGGAGCTCATCACGAAGCTGGTTTCGCTCATCAGGGGTGGGCAGGACGGCAATCAAGCCGTTCACAAGATCAAGATGTGCCGCAAGATAGTTGGTCGCATCCCATTCAACACCTCCAACATATGGGGCAGCGGGAACAGGTGGACGAGGGAGTGGGAAGTGACGCTCGCTGTAAGGACGAGTGTCTACTTGGGTCTTTTCGCCGAAAAGGTCCTCCGACTTGGGGAGGGGAATCACATTTAGGTGATGAAGGAAAATCCAGAAGACCTCCTTGGTTACATTGGTGATCTCCTTACACCACACTCTATATGGTCGTGACTGGTAAATGTTGGCAATGAAGGACAGCGGCTGGTTATCCACTGGTGGAGCAGGGTCCTTCAGGTAAGAAAGGATCTGTTTGGCGCGCTTGATCGCCAGTTCACCAGCAGGAGCAGTAGAGAGCTGCGTGAACAGCAGGTTTGCAATGATCCCTCGAGTGGTGAACTCACTGGGACCCTTCTTTTCCTCATCAAAGAGCATATGCAGCAGAGCAGGGAAAAGCTCATCCTCGATGGCACTTAGGTGTGCCAGGGCCACGGATGTAGTGCACAGAGCCTTCAGACAGAGCAATGCCTCGTGCAAAAGGGTGTCCTCATGGTCCTCACTGTAAAACAGGTTAGTTACTGGTTTGAATGAAGAGAGGCAGAATGCATACCGCCAGGTCATCTTCATAATCCGATAGAGAAGCTGTACAATCTCATCCATTCCCCCTCAGTGATAAAGTCATTGACCCACTGTACGGTTTCGTTACGTAGGAGAAGACGCAGCTTGTGCATCTTTCCAACTTCAACCATCTCGGGCTTTTGGATCTCTCTCAAGTAATGCACAAAGTCGGAAGGGTCCGCCGCGGTGTCGACAGCGGCCGCGTCAGCAAGTGATGCCGTTGAAGCATTGGCCGAGAGAGTGGTGTAGACACCAACAGGCTGAGAAAGGTCCACAGACCTTGGACGACGGCTTGACGCCTCACTATCACGCCGCAACTTTTTGCCAGGCGACGAGGGGCCCTTGGTGAAGGTGAATCCGCGGCTCCTGGATCGTGACCGGGAACCTTTGCGATCCTGAGGCTGGGAGTCTTCCTTGGATTCTTTGCCGCGTCCTCTGCGGCTATCACCGGTTCCCGCGCTGAGAGGAGTGGTGTTCTCCGTCCGATCTTTCAGGATAAAATCGGCCTTGATATTGGTATCAAGTGAGCGCATCTTGTCTCTCATGTTATGAGGGATATTCCTCGCATCCTAGAAACCGGTTAGCCTTGCAATCCAAATTGATGTATTTAGTAGGGTCGACAAACTAGCAGCTTCTCAAACTCGCTTTCGAGATCCTTGGAGTTCAGATGCTGATGCACTTCAGCATCTCGCTCCTTTGCATTGAATACCGAGATGGCAGCTTGTACACGAGAAAGCCGCTTGGGCTCTTCTTTCGCCATGGTAGGGGGGATGTTTTTCGTGGACTCGGTGGTCCTCTGCTCTTAGAAGAAGCACTATCAGATCGCCCAGTAGGGTCGGTTTCTCCCGAAGATGCGCGCTGCAACCCAAGAAGATCCTTCACTTTGCGGTTTCCTGCCAGAATGTCTGACTTGGGCCGAGGCTTGGGGTCGTTCGACTTGGCGAGGGAGGGTTGATGGTAGTCATAGAAGTTGCGTTGCTGGCTTGGCCCGTAGCCCTTGGGTGTATAGAGGGAGACTTCGTCCGCCACGGTTCGACTCATGTCGGCGGTCGAGTTCGGCCTCGATCGACCAATAGGCTCTTTATGACCTGAGGCCGAGTCCTGTGACCAGACCGGGGATGGCATATTCATGTCATCAATCAGATCAGTCGGGCTGCGGTTTTCTTTATCGCGACTCTGCTTTGAGCCATCCTTTCTTCCCCGTTGGGACCTTTTGAGGATCGCCGAGAGACTATTGGAGGATTTCGCCTTTTTGGGCGACAGATCCTGACTCTGCTCGGGCGTCTCCTCCGATTTACCATCCTTCCGCTCCATATAATTTCTCAGGGACTTCAATGAGACAGCGCTCTTGGTCTTCTTATGCAGGGCACCTTTCCCTTCCTTGCCCATCTTTGGCATGGCTACTCCGTGGTCGCCCGCATCACGATTGGGGACAATCTCACTGAGCGGGCGGTAGCCAGCAATAGAACCAGGCTCATCACTGAATGAGAAAGGGATGTTCTCGCTTGGCTTGCTTCTCTGCAGAGGCCGCGGGGCCACGGCATCGTCAGCCGATTGATTTCGTTTATGGGTTTTGGATGACATTATGGCCCGGAATATGGACTGTTTGGTAGGGGATCGGTTCGCATCGTCAAAGATTTGGGGACCAGAGGTACTGGCAGCCATTGCTATCCTCTTTGGCCAGCAACTAAGTACATCGTGTTAGCCGATGAAGTGGATGAAGAGGGGGAACAGGTAGTTGCAGTTTGAACTCACGGGATCTGTGCAAACAAACGCAGAATAGAACAGCAACGCAGTTCACAAAAAAAAAAGGGCAATGATCAAGTATAGCCCCTAGATTTCAAAGAACAAAAAGGCGGGGAAGAAGACACTGGTGGAAGAAAAGGAAAAGATCAGGGCAAGCTGGGGAATTTGAAGAATCAACGGCGTCTTGCTGCCAACAGCAACCGTCATCGAGTATCAAGATGTTGATCCACTTGCCTCGACTTAGCGCATGAGACGATCCTTGGGGTTGGCTGGATTGAAGGTGGAGGAGTAAACAACGTGCGGATAAAGAGGTTGCGAGGGGCAACGTACGGACTTGGCGGTGAACTTGTGGTTTATTAGCAGTTATTAGGCTTCTATAGTATTATTTTGGAGTGTTCCTATGGCCAGACATGTCATATTGCATATTATTGCCCATTCATTTGGGGTTATTCTTAGATGTGCATATAGTCCTTGCATGTTTCCTTTTGTTATGATTGTTATGATTGTTATTCCTGTTTTTACTGCATCCGGCTAGTTGTATATATATTGAATAGATCCTTGATTGGCATCAACCTGATACATCGACTTTGAAATGTAAACATTGAAAAAGCAATATCTATATTCCAATTATCTTATAGGGTATAGATTGAAATTCTCATTCTTTGTGGTTCTTGACCAAACATCTAACCCAGTGCCGAATGCCGGGAGGACTGGCCCAATTGAAGATAAACATACTCTCATATTACATGCAGTCGAGTAACTCCGCCACTTCCAAGATCTTCTGATCACATTTATGCGGATTGTGCATAGAAGTACATATCTGACCGTTTACTGTTAGAGTGGAATTTGATCCACAGCTGTTTGCGACCGGGGAATTAAGGCGATCACTCCCGTCAACAAGATAAGGACTAAGAATGTGTAGAATAGCGATATAAGCGAGCATTTGGAAGGCGAATGTGAGACAAGTCCCATTTATATAAGCTTTTGGTTCCAGAACGGGTCGGGAAACAAACATCGGACAGTTCTGACAAGTTCCTCTTTACTTTGCACCCGAGACTTGGGATTTATTCAAGGCGAACTCATAGAACACTGTAGCCATGAATTGCCCATCACGGACTGACGACACACTCAAAAACCCGAGCTGGAATCAAAGCCCACCGCCCTTCAGCCCGGACGCTACTGTGCGAAATGACTTCAATGGTCTCGCCAATTCTAGAGTCCATCGCAGACATGCCAATTCTGCAAATGCAGCAGGAGATGACTCATTTTCTATAGACAGACCGAACAGTTGTCAAGAGCCAGACCCCGGAAAAGAAAAGGTCACCAGCGGCGAAGTGATCGCTGCCGACTCGGGGGTGGATCCACCCCCGAGGAGCAGCCGATCACCTCGCCGTCCTTTTTTTACTTGTTTGACATCTTCTACTCTGCATTGCGCTCGAAGCCTTGCTAAATTCACCCGCTTCATCGGCCCTGGTTTCCTCATCGCGGTTGCATATATCGACCCCGGAAATTACGCCACCGATGTCGCAGCTGGTGCAGACTTCAAGTATGCCTTGTTGTTCATTGTGCTCATTTCCAACCTATTTGCAATCCTTCTGCAGTCCCTGTGTATCAAGCTGGGCTCGGTGACTGGTTTGAATCTGGCCGAAAATTGCCGAGAGCACCTTCCGAGATGGCTAGTGATTTTTCTTTATGTCCTCGCGGAAGCGGCCATTATTGCAACTGATATTGCAGAGGTGAGTGTTACATTTCGGTCTGGACGTTTTTAATTGACACACTGACAATATTGAAAGGTGGTTGGATCAGCGATCGCATTGAACTTACTGTTCAATCTTCCCTTGGTAGCTGGTTGCGCTATCACACTGGTGGATGTTCTTTTCATTCTCATTTTCTACCGACCAAATGGCAAGATGTGGGGACTCAGACTGTTCGAGTTCTTTGTAATGGCTTTGGTGTTAGGTGTTGTCGTTTGCTTTTGCATTCAGCTCTCACTTATAAAAGACCAGTCAGTTGGTGAAGTGTTCCGCGGATATCTACCATCTTCAGCCATCGTTAAATCAGAAGGGTAAGCCTGTCTACTCTGTCTTTTGGCTGTCTCCGCAAAATTTTCCTACTAACTCATCTACAGTCTTTACCAAAGTTGTGGAATCCTCGGTGCCACTGTTATGCCACACTCCCTGTTTCTTGGTAGCGGCGTGGTTCAATCCCGTCTCAAGGAATTCGACGTCAATTCTGGCTATGTGGAGTCCACTGTGCCTTTAGGGAACGCCGACGGCGAAGTGAAATATCGCCCGTCGATCCATGCAATCCGCGACTGTATGAAGTACTCGATCATTGAGTTGTCGCTCTCACTTTTCACCTTCGCCCTTTTTGTGAACAGTGCAATCCTAATTGTCGCGGGTGCTTCTCTCTATGGTGTTCCTGGCGGAGACAATGCTGACCTCTTCGGAATCCACAGCCTGCTCTCCAAGTCGATCGCGCCAGCTGCAGGCTTAGTATTTGCTCTCGCCCTGCTACTGTCGGGTATTTCCGCTGGAATTGTCTGCACGATTGCTGGTCAAATGGTGAGCGAGGGGATGCTGAACTGGACCATCAAACCATGGATGCGAAGACTCATCACCCGCTCGATCAGTATCATTCCTAGTATCATCATTGCTGCGGCTGTTGGCAAGGAAGGCCTCGACAGGACTTTGACTGCGAGTCAGGTTGCTCTGAGCGTTCTTCTGCCATTTGTCTCGGCGCCTCTCATCTGGTTCACTTGCCTCAACCGCTACATGACTGTTCGAACTGAAGAAGCTCCCGAACGAGAGGGTGAAGTTGATGTAGTGACAGTTCCGATGCGGAATAATCTAGCCACTTCGGTGGTTGCAGTCCTTGTGTGGATTGTCATCGTTGTGATGAATGTGGCCCTGCTGGTGCTGGTGGGAATGGGCAAAGCGTCTTAATATCTAGTGATGCTGTCCATGATACAACATATATGTATGTGGGATGACAGCAATGACCAAGCACGTCCCTGATTGCAGCGAAAACAGGAGTTTAATCACGCACATGATAATTGCTATGATATGACACATGAACGAAATGAGAGCTTCAATACGATATGAGCGTAGCTTATTGCAAATTAAAATAAACACCCAATCAACTCCGCTGCCTGTGCCTTGACACAGAAGAACACCTGGTTGCCGCTAAACAAAAGCACGCTTTAACATTAGTTTTATCCAAGTCCGCCTGCGGCCTCTTTGACCTTATTTTGCTCAGGCGGCTCATCAATAAACTGTGGGGGAGCCACCTCATCCTGTAAGAAGCTCGGCATAGCACTTTCGCCCATGCTGCTCTCAAACATGGATTCCTCGCCCAGCGCCTCAAGCTCTGCATCCAACTCGGCCTCATCAACATCCTCCGGGACATCATAGGCCCGGGAGATACTTTCTTGAATCTCATTCCCGACCTCCATCAGATCCGCCATCTCATCCTGCATCTGCTCGATCTTATCGATGTCGACCTTGCCATACTGCTTCTTGAGTTCCTTGGTCGTGGTCTTCATCGCGTCCACCGTTGTCATCACATTCTTCAAATTATCCTGCATCATCCCCGCCTGCTCCATGTTCCATGATTGTTGCGAGAGTTGGTCTCGCTGCGCCTCGTATTGTTTTCGTCGCTGAAGGACTTTGAGCGCTTTCTGTCGGAGGGCATTCTTGCCGGGCCCGTCGCGCATCTTGGCGATCTTGGTTTGGTATGTGGAAAGCTCGGAGTTGAGGGCTGCTAGTTTGACATCTATGCTGGAAACTCGAGTGTCGACCTGTTGTATGGTTAGTGGGGTATCTTGAGGGGGCGGGGATGGATGCCTTGGAACAGGCTTGCGCGGGCATCGTACATTGGTAATAGCACCTTCAAGAGTCGGCTTGGGGCCCGTACTCTTTGTGCCAAATAGTCGGTTCATGATGGTGGGTTGTGTTGGGGGGTTATTATTGAAAGGTGAAGGTGAGGGTAAGTAGGCAGCGGACTTTGGCAGGGCTTCCAGACCGCGCGTGGCCAGTGCTTAATAAAACCGCGATCAGTGGGCCGAGGTGGTAATTTAACCAATAGCTGGGATGGAGCACTCTAAGAGCTGGCAAAGTATAAAATACTAAGGACGAGTCTTGAATTGTTTCCTATGTAAGTAATGTATATAGTACCTATGTACGTCGGATTTCCTGGCACTTCTTGGCTTTCCGTTTTAGTCCTGAGGCCTTGCCGCCTTTTCTCCCAGTAATACTGAGCACGACTCTTTCTTACATAAGACCACTGATCGCCCCCGGGCTCCGGGGCCAGCCCCCGGGGCTAGGGTGCAGCTGGGCAGTGGACCACTTTGAGGTGCCTCGGCTCTGATTCTTCAGCTTGTCAAGCTCCATCTTTCTGATTGAGTGCAAATGACCTTTAGTACCCTAATGAGACCAAAGTGGAAGCATTGTTGAGGCCGGAAATTTATTAGAGTACAAAAAATAAAAAGTCATCGCCCGTAGGCGATCCGGCAACCTGAGATCAAACGACACTCAAGCTGAAGATGGACGGGCTCCAAGTAGGCGCTCAAAATGTTGAAAACGACAACCGCTAGGCCAGACGCCCGCCCATCTATCGATTTATACTGGGCAGCGCTATTTCTCATATGAAGTAAAAATAGAACATGAAATGATTTCAAAACCACCACTCTTTGCGTCCCCAGCTTCTAGTGATATCTAGAAACTAGATGTTTGACACCTTTATGTACGAGATGTCACGACGATCGCAGTGCTTGGGGCGTCGTGTCTGCCCCATAGGCGAACAGAAGCTTCAAACCAGGCTCGAAAGCAGTCTGTACAGACCGACAAGTGGGTGTTCATCTAACAGCATCGAAAGTGTTGACATCTGGGCTATTTTCTGGCAGAAGTCGAAACATGCCTTTCTATATGTAAGGTTGTGGCTCCAGCACTATCATAATCATTGATCTAACCCCGACGTCTCAGGGCTTCTTGGCGATGGTATCATGATCTTGCTCTACAGCGATGTGTAAAGGTAGGCGCTAGTCAGCGGGTTGCCCTCCGTGGTTGATAAAGGCTAGTGATGGGTACATAGGTATTTTTTGTGCACTTCAGGTGCTGCCGGGATGTGAAGTGAAATATATTGTGCTGGGACTTGGTATCAACACATTCTTTATTTGTATTCCGTCCCTGGCAAGATAAAGCTTGATAAAGTATGTGCATGTACTTATTTCCATGGCCCGTACTGTATCCTCATACCTTAACGATGACGGACACATCATATAAAATGATATGTATTAGTTCTCTGTAAAGTTCATTTCCTAAATATAACTGTTCCATTTCTCTTCACACCAGACCCAGAACTTGTTCCCATAATCCAGACCCCCCTCCTCCTTGGAATCCCCAGCCTTAATGAGGTCCTGTCGCGGAGTAGCCTCATTGGGGCGGATCCGACCCCAGGGAATGATGTAAGAACCGGTGTTTTCCAACGTAATATCGGAAGAAAGTCCAGCATAAAGTTCTGTGTATGCGCCGTAGATGGCATCACTCAGGAGAACTTTGTTCAAGACGAACATGATGGCTGCAGGGGTCCCATTGAAGGAAGCTGTCTTCAAAAAGCCCGGGTTCAAACAAACACTGACGATTCCGTCCTTGGCATATCGACGAGCAAACTCCCGACTGAGGATCCAGGTGCCCGCTTTGGAGGTCCCGTAGTTATCAGTGCGATTGTTTGTTCCTTTGTCCAACATATCGAAATCGAGACCGTTGGGTGGCGAGCCCCCCTCTGCCAGAGCGCTCGATGTCCATATGACACGAGTCTTGCCATTTTCACCAGAAGTGGCGGCAGCCCGCAGCTGAGGGAGGAGAAGCTTAGTGAAGAGGAGCGTCGCAATGCAGTGCATTCCTATCATGGGCTCGAAGTCTTGGGCTGTGCGTTGGCCAATCGTGACCATGTTAGCTCCGGTGCCGGCATTGTTCCACAGCACATCTAGTTTATCTTCCTGCTGCGCGAAGCTTTCTGCTGCGGCCTTGACGACCAAGAGATCGTTCAGATCCAGATGCAGGAACTTGAGTTTGCCACTCGTGTTCTTGGATTTTGATGCTTCGGTAATCGTTTTGATGACCGCTTCTGCTTTGGTCTGTAAGTTTAAGATGATTAGTAGGGTTGGAGGCTACAAAACAACCCCCGAGTCTCACCTGGGACCGAGACGCCATATAGATAGTTGCGCCGCTCGCGTAGAGAATCTTGCACAGCTCAAGTCCAATACCTGCATTTCCGCCCGTCACAATAAAAACGCGGCCATTTTGCGAGCCTGGGGGTGCATTTGCCTCAGTAAAAGCCGGAGCCGGAGGATATGCTTGGGTAAGGGTGGCGCGGAGGCTTGAGAAGGGGGCCATGATTCTGCCTCGATGAATAAATGATATCTGGGATATAGAACATTTGGTTCATGCTTGCGGTTTATAAGGAAGACATCAAACGGAGTGGACGTAAGATTAGCGCGAGTAGATTTCTAATGAGCAGGGGGGAATTACAAAGCGCTAGGATAGTGTACAAATAACTAATGTGTCTTATTCACCATCCTATTTGTTTAGAGCGCACATTCATCCGTCCGGACCAACTGTAGATTGGGTTGCTCCACTTTCGAGAGGGTCAATGCTTCCTTTTCTACGTATACGCAGGCTGATGTTTGAATATACAGAGTACATGGGATATAGCAGCTATACGATTATATGACGTTGGAAATACTCTCATGATCTTTATCTTTGACACAAACGATCAGACCGCAAGCGTCCAGGTGGGATCCGTGAACTTTAGCAAGGTCAAATCGTACCTTCCGTATCTTGGCCGATGGGGGGATCATGGTCGAAATTGGCAAGAAGGAAATTCCTGCAATGGTATTGCCACGGAGGTCTTTGCCCGCAATATCTTCAAAGCAATTGACCATCTTGTTTCGCGGTATGTACACTTTTAGCCCTAATAATACGTAACACTTGTTGATTTCTCTTTATAAGATCGTTACTAAGATTAGGAAACATGGATGCTAAAAGGAGAAAGGCTACAGGATATATGAGCATGGAAACCTAAAAAAATGTCTTTTTATAATGTTGTATACTAGAAGGAAAAGGGGCACATATCATACTGACTTTACACCCCCCTGGAAAGAAAGTAGGAAGAGAGAGAGAGGAGCCGATGAGATCACATGTTTCATGTCTGCCTCAAGACAAAACGGAGCTAGTTCTGCTGAGAAGATGTACAAATTAGCGCTACTTGGAAGGGAAAAAAGTGCTTGGACTGAAACTGCCATAGAGCATGGACATTATTAATAATCTCGGGGTCTTACTTATATCAAGATCACGGCAAGGTGTATGAGACTGAGTAGATGCATGGCCCCTGTCTGAAAAGGAGAAAGTGCTGGGGCCGACCACAGATCTGTTGAAAAAGTGTAGCAAAATTGTTGTGGTCTACAAGACGAAGGCTAGATAGAGAAGGGGAAAATGTTATCTTAGAAAAGGAGAGCTCATAGAACTATGGTAAACATAGTTACCATCACAGGATGCCTGAGGCCACAGTATACACGTGATTGTAAAGTACATTCAAAGTTTCCGTTCACAAAGTTTCCGTTCACAGTAATGTTTTTGTAAGTTTAGCTTGTTTCATCTGAGTGGGTTTCTGCGATGGGTTTCTACGAAAGTGTATGTGAAGTTGTCAGATGATACTATCCGCTGGGATTTAAATCTTTGTATGTGTAGTTTGGGCTACGTGGGACAGGACATTGAATGTATTGGCTACTTTCTTTAGCACACAAATCTGGCGGGGAAGGGTTGTACCGAGTACCCAGTATCCGCCGTCATCTTGATGGCAGCTGATCCCATGATGAGATGAGATGGAAATTTAAAAACACAGTGATAACTAAGATTTAAAAAATCAAAAGAGACAAATATAATAATTCTCAAAGTCAGATATATTCAGGGATCTTGTAGTTCTTTCTTATCTGGAGATTTTTATCCCCGCGGTGATTACATACGTGTTTCCGCCCCTACAGGGCTCGTGGCCATCAGGGATCGGTAATCGATCAGCACAGCTTCCCCGAAGCGGAACCTCTCTTTCTTCTCCCAACTGTTTCCTTGATGGATAGGTGTTGAGTCGCCATATTCCGTCTGTGTGTGTATGTGCCCCTCGAGTCTGCTCATTTTGACTCTCCAACTCCACTCGCCATTTCTTCATCTCCCCCTCTGCAAACCCACAGGGAGGTCCAGATTTCTCTCTTTCTTCGTCATTCCCTCGAGATCAAAGGTACGCTCTGTCAAGGGCCCTGTCTTCTGGTTCAGCAGCTCCTATAAAACCCCTCTGACCAAATCCTTCAACTCCATCTGTCGCACTCGGTGAAGGCGGCCTGCTTCATGGGAACACATCATCGGGACTGCTGGTGATGCAAGCGTGTGAACCTGATTGCTAATGCATTATCTATTCACACAGCGCTAGATCGTTTCAATTCTCAATCGATTTACATCTATAGCTCTAGTCATTTATCGGCCGTGACAGTCCAGCGTACCCCACTCGACCTGCGCGACCTGGTCTCTGTGTGTGGACACCACGCTTGGCTTGCCGGTGTATTGGCCTATCGCGCAACCTCTCCTGGGAACACGATATTTCGATTAACCCTTGTACCATAGATTGCTCCGTTACGACATCTCGGAGACGAACGAAACGAATCCATTTTATGAATCATTTCCCTCGGCTATATACTCCATCATGTTTTGGCGCTTTGGGGGATATGCGAATATCTCCACGATCGATACCCTGCTCGACAAACCCGATATCACTCTTGAGGAGCTCCTAGATGAGCCCGAGATCATCCAAGAACTGAAACAGCTTAATACGAAACTCATTGAATACCTGCGCGAGGATCATGTCTTGAAACGGCTTATGGACTATGTCACTGCACCAAGCCTAGTGAGCGATGACGAAGAGAACGATCAAGATGATGCGAAATATGCCTCAAAGAAGGACAAGGATGCTGCCGCTTCCGCGGACCAGACGGATACGGACGAGGAGAAGGAAGGGGACCCGCTGAGGGATATTCTTGACACGGATGACCTAGACAAAGTCGAGAAGAATCGTCTGAAGCATGCCTATATCGCTTGTGAGATTCTCTCATCAGAGACCTGGTCCATCCTCGAATCTATGATGGCCAACCCTTCATACTTGCGAGACTTCTGGGGCTTCCTGCGACGATCCCCACCTCTTGATTCATTGCAGGCAAGCTACTTCACGAAAGTAAACGAGACTTTGCTTGATAAAAAGACCGAGGAGATGCTGGAGTTCCTCAAGACCCTCGATGGAATCGTCCCGGCATTGTTGCAGCATGTTGATAACCCGATGGTCATGGATCTTCTCCTGAAAATTATCAGTCTCGAGAAGGCGGAGGGTGGCCAGGGTACTGTTGACTGGCTCAAATCCGAGGATTTGATCCCCAATCTTCTGTGTTTCTTGTCGCCCGATCGTCCGGCATCCGTTCAAACCTCGGCAGGTGACTTCCTGAAAGCGATCATCACCATATCTGCGAATGCAAGCCCGAACGACCAGTCATGTATTGGTCCCAACAGCTTGACACGTCAGCTTGTCTCGACCAAGTGCGTACAGCAGCTCATCGATGCTATGCTCATGGGTGGTAATCCCTTGACCGTGGGCGTGGGTATTGTCATCGAGGTAATCCGCAAGAATAATTCCGACTATGATCCGGAGTCTCTTAGTGGACCCGATACAATGCTCACCACTTATGACCCAATCTACCTTGGAACGTTGTTGCGTCTCTTCGCCAAACATATTCCCCAGTTCATGGCCCTCATTCAAAGCTCCCAGCACACTATCCATGATGGAAACAAGCTCAAGACTGTTGAGCGAGGAAAGTTGAGCTCTGCATGGGGTGGGAAAATTGAGCCTCTTGGTTTCGACCGATTCAAGACGTGTGAATTGATGGCAGAACTGCTTCATTGCAGTAATATGGGTCTTCTGAATGAGCCAGGCAGTGATGAGTACGTCAAGCAGAGAGATGAGGAGCGTGAGCGGTTGATCCGTGAAGGAGTTTTCGATCCCCACCGAGACGAGAATTCCGGTGTTGATTGTAATGATACGACGGCCGATTTCGTAAACGATTCAGCTTTCGATTCTGGATCACCGGAAGATATCAAAGCTACAGAAGTGCCACACGCGGGCGACGAAGAAGGGTTTGAAGATGTTGGTGCATCTGGTGTTTTAGTGGGCGCAAAAGCTGGTACCGATACAACGACTACTGCAAACTCGCAGCAAACGGAAACGGTCAGCGAAATTCCTCCATCAGAGGTCACAGCAGCAGAGCCGGTGTCTCCCGAAGAAACCACAAAGCCATCTCAAAGTTCCACCGTAGCCACTGTTGACCCCTCGTCGCCTTCCATTGGTCTCCCTGACCAAGTTGGCAGCATGAATCTTGGAAATGAGCCACAAGACGAGCAGCAAAAGTCTGGAAAGGACAACCAAGAGCCTGTGGCTTGTCCCACTCAAGATGTTCCAGCTCCTCTCTTCTCGAAGGAACAAACAGCAGAGTCAAACCCACCCCCTGCCGATAAATCTGAAGAACCATCTAGTGTCACTGCACAGGCCGAGCAAGCAAGCATTATGAACGACGGAGGCGATGAGGATTCGGCCGAACAATACATTCAACTTGATACTGACGGGCGACCTGTCGTCGGTGATTACTTGAAGATCCAATTTGTGGAGAACAAAGTGGTCCCAACGATCCTGGTTAGTATTTCTCGTGGAAAAGGCTGAACAATTATACTAACCGTTGATAGGGCTTCTTCTTCCGTTTCCCATGGAACAATTTCCTTCACAATGTTGTTTATGATGTGATCCAACAAGTCTTCAATGGCCCCATGGAGCGTGGCTACAACCGGGCACTCGCAGTCAATGTGTTCGACATCGGACGGATTACCACCGCGATTGTTGAAGGACAGAAGCGCAGCGATGAAACCCAGCGGACCAAGCAAATCCGCCTCGGATACATGGGTCACCTTACTCTTGTTGCGGAGGAAGTCGTTAAATTCAGCGAGCGTCATCCGCCAGAGTTGCTTTCACGGGCCGTTATGGAGAGCGTGTTGAATCCTGACTGGATTGACTACGTCGAACAGACATTGTCAGAGACTCGCGAGCGGGACAATGCCATTCTAGGCGGCGTTCGTCCTGATATGTCTGGGTCTCGCCAGACTAGCCTTAACAACACCAACGCTGGCCAAGGCTTCTCTAACTCCAATGCTCTGGCGGACGCAGGATTGAACGGAGGAACCGGTGGCTCAAACTTCCAAGGCTTCGACCTCGCCCAAGGAAGTGTTTCCGGTGGAGCATTCGGTGGAGGTGGCAC